GGGGGGCCGCCGCCCGGGGCTGGGGGGGCTCCCCGGGCACCTCCCGCAGCTCCGGCCCCTCCCGGCTTTTGGAGGAGCTGTCGCCTGCTCGGGGTCACCGCGGCGGGTTTGGGATGGGTTGGACAGCACGGGAAATGCCGAGGGTCGCTGCCGCGTCCGTTGTAGCGGGAGCCCGGAGGGGAAGCAGGAGCCCCGGAATGGGGAAGCCCAATAAAAAGCCCATCGCTGGAGGCCACAAAGGGGAAAAGTGTGGGGGAACCTTTTTCCCCCATGTTTCCAGGCCTTGGAGGGAATTAGAAGAAGACAACGTATTGTTTCTCAGTATTGCTCCCCCCCTCCCCCCCCCCGAATCACACAATTGCTAAACAGGGATTATACTGCAGGATTATGGGGGGGCGGGGTTTTACTGTCTCGATTTCTGCAATCTGCTTGTTTGGTGACTAGTACCATGTACTTTGCCTGCTCTCCCATATTTATTGTTGAAGGTGACTTTTGTCCCAGCCACGGCAGCTCTTAACTGCTCTTCCCTTTTTTGTCTGTTCGTTGCATTTGGTCTGCACCCTTTCGCCTCTCTTCCTTCCCCTGCACACCAATCTTTGCTCTTTCTTGCTGCTTTTTGCTTTAAGTTCTTCAACCCTTCTCAGGCTAGAGGTGCTAGAGCTTTTTTCCCAGGCTGGGGAAAACTGTTATAGTGGCTTTTCATTCCCTTGTTCTCTCCCCTGGCAGTGCTGGAGGGGGGAGCAGAAGAATATCCTGTTGCTTACCACAAGCAAGAAGAGTGGCTAAGCCTCTTCTGCTGCTCTCCTTCATGTCTTTAAGAGTCTTTTGTCCTCTGAGGAGAGCTGTAGAGAACTCGGCAGCTTTCCTGCACAGGTCCTGCCTTGGCAGGCACTAATCAGGGGTCCCGTTTGCAGCAAAGCATCCACTTCTGCAGTTTGGAAGAGGAATGGCACTTGTTGTGCCATTGCTGGCTTTAGCTACAAACAGGCTACTGTCACTCATAAACAATTGCAAGATTTGACAGCATGAGCTGCTCTTTTCTGGAAACAGAAATGAAGTCATGGGGAGAGTGAAATGACAGGCAGTGCTAAAAGGACTGGACTTACAAACAGGCCAGTGCAGATAAATAGTGTAGGAAGTCACAGAATGCATGGAGCTGTGGGAAAATACACTAGAATATGTTCACAGTCTTCGAAATAATCTTTAAATAATATTCCCTGTAAAATATTTGTGAAATAACCACAAATTTTAATTCTGTAGGTTTCTGCTGTGCAGAAAGTTTAAGTAGAAAACAGTGTCACTGTTGTGAATTTTAAAACCTTTATTAAAAAAACCCATAGATCACTTGATAGTGAGATTGTTTCTCAGACGTCTTGTCTCAAAATGTTACTTCAGGAGCCATCGCAGCTCTGGTGTTGGTGCAGGGACTGCTGTATTTTGGTCTTATTTTGGTGTGTAGGGTTGAAATGAGAGAATAAAGAGCAAAAAGATAATAGGCAAGTAGAGGACAAAAAAAAGTCCCGGGGGAACCGGAAGGTCTAGAAAGTGGCGCAGTGTTTGTGTGCTGAATGGAATGGTGAGGATCGGCAGAGACAGTTAGAAAAGCTGGCAGCAAATTACAGTGAGGGTCTGCACTGGTTAGTGGGAAGATGCTAACTGGGATGAAGCTGGGGTTGGACTTGTAACCCGATGCAGTTTAGTTTGTTTAACAGCCCCTTCCCTTCCCACACCATTTTGGAATTTCCGAATGGGCCTGGACATCACTTTGATGGGCATAAATTTAAAATGTTTTGAGTATGGGCAGTAATGTTGCTGGATACCATCTGACCATCTGTTCAGTTGGCCTCAACCTGACTATAAATAATCCTTTTTATTTGTTTCCTGGCTCGATGTTTGTTTTGCTGGTGCTATGCTGTATGCTGTGGGATTACTTGAAGGACCAGCTTGCAATAAATGTTCTTCAATAAATGCTATACAAGCCCCTGTCTACGGTATAATTAAACTGATGTGCACCCAGATTATTTAGCAGAGCAGTTGAGATAAGAATGATCTTCACATGACTCAAGCACAGTTCTTCAGTGTGCTTAGGGAAGTGAGTCTATCATGTTTGTGGAGTAATGACAATGTGAATTACGGACACTTAAAAATATTTTTAGTTACTTCTTTGTGAATTCATTATAAAGCTATCCTGTTGCAATAGGTCAGGGTTTGAACAATGTCATCAAGACATCTGCAAGGAGATAAGGTGATATGAAAGATGAGCAATGGGTGGCAGCCTTCACTGGTACTCTTCAGAGAGGTGTCCTCAGGAAAGACCGGCACTTTTGCCAGACAAGCTCTAACATTTTCCTGGCAGGTGCAAAGCTTCTGTCTGAAAGTTTGTACTAAGCCTGCAGACTTCATAAAGCTATTGTAATTTGAGATGCGTCGTATTTTTATTGTGTTGCTGTGTGAACTCTGAAACCTGAGAGTGATGATGTGATGTCACCTTTAATTTTCACAATGTTGAAAATCATACGGTATGCTGGAAAGCAGGGCTGTTTTGTAGTGTTGCCTGTCATCTTTTTGTGGCATGCTGGTAGCTGGAACAGTATGCAGTATAGAGGGAACATCACTCCCGTGTTCCTTTTTCAGTCCAACTTTGTAGTGAAGGGCCAGCTGTACACTTTTCCAGTGTTGTTCTTACCTTTGTGAATATTCTTTGTCCTAGGGAAGTGAAATATGTTAATTTGGTTACTTTTATTTTCTCTTTTTCAGCTAGTGGAAGTGTTAAAGACACCTTTGTTGGAGCCAGAAATGGACAATACAGGCTTTTAAAAATAGTCATTGACAATGGTTAGTCAAATTTTAATGTTTTTCTCTGAGTTTTTTAGATATTTTCCTAGTTGTTTTAGTGACCTACATGTACAATTGTTTAAAAAACAAAACTCTGCAAAACTTAATGTTACTAAGGTCTTTCATATACAGAAAGTAAGATTTAAGCTCTGGTGATGCTACTTTATTTTTGCATTTGAATTTTTCTTCCAAATGTAATTTCATATTTTACCAAGAACTGCTGTGTATTTCATATGGATAATATAAATAAGCTTGCTCTTACCTTACTAAAGAAAGACTAGGGGAAAAAAAATTCCACACCTGTGTAGTGGTTTGGCACTTTGGTTAGTTTCATTAGACAGAGAGATTCTTACACAGCAGCTAGTCACTTTAGATGAAGTATAAATGTTATCTGCCTTTTATACTGCGATCAGCTGCATGTAGAAAGTCCTATTAAAGCAGATGTTGAAGTAGTAATCTGGCTACATAGAAAATATCTTTTAAAATCTGTAACTTTGTACAAATTTTCAAAGCTAAAACTGTTCCTTAAATCTCACGTATATGTATAAATATATTAGATAATTTCTTGCAGAACTTGGGTTTGATCTTTGAACTTCTTGGCAAGTGATCAAGGCTGCAAACATTGCAAGATAGAATGCACAAGTTGTTTTTTCTTTTTAATAGCAATGCTGGTTGACTGCATAAGACACTTCATGGTTTAGTCTATCTTTTCAAGCACGTCAAATGCCCCCCTTGGGATTTTTGTTCTTTCTAGAGTTCATTCATTTACAGTACACTGAAATACCTGTTAGCTGGAGAAAGGTACAGGTATGTACATGTACATACACATACATACTTTTATTGTTAGGTAAATAACCTACTGTTACCTTCTTTGTGTTTGCTTTTCTTAGGAAGTCTTCTGACATTTTAATATTGCTTTCCTTAAGGAAGTGGCAAGAATAATATTATAGGCAGGTCACTGTGGTAAAGTCTCACTAGCACAAGGTAGCAAATGTTGGCATACCATTGAATTTTTTTTTTCCCCATTAGGCAAGGTACAACAATATGCTTTTGCGTGTATGCTACTTTTTAATATGAAATGAAGCCTAGAAATAAGATACAAATGGAAGACATTCCCTTTTTTTTGTGTGTGTGTGTTTGTGTGTGTGTATATATATGCATTTTGTCTGTATATAGAAGCAGAATCCAGTCTTTGATACTATTTTCCACAGTTCAAAAATAAAACTCTAAAATTCCCAGAATGCTGGAAGAGGGACAGTTGCCTCATCTGCCGGAACTTTCAGCAACCGTCCTTAGTCAACAGATAATAGTCAAACTGAGTTCTGCTAATCTGAGTTAGCAAGAAAAGAGGTTTGCTGCTGGGCCATAGAGTTCCTCTGATTGTATTTTTCAATCTTAAATCCAAGTGAGTATAAAGCCACCTAGAGTTCAGAATTGGCAAGTACATTCCGAATACTCTGGTCTAGGTGTACAACTTCAGCTACTTTGCATCTAATTCAGAGAAGGGCCAAACACCGTCTCCCTGAGCTGTTCCTGTTCTGTGACTTACTGTGGTGGAGTGCCTTGCTATGAAAGTTCTGCTGTAGGGGCATTTGTTTACTGTTGTACTTTTGTCTGAAGTTTTAGAAGCTAGGTCCTAGACTCTCAAAAGATATTTTGTATACTAGCTACTATGAAGGTCCTCAAACTGTTGTAGGATCCCATTTAAACAAGGTATTTCTGTTTTGGTTGTCGGGGCTACTATTTATTGGGAAGCTGATAAATGTTTTGAAAGACACTGTACTAATACTTTCCTCTGGAAGCTGAGATGTATGTAATTTATAAATAAGAGAAAAATCTTGTTGCTACAGCTGTTCACATAATTGAATCTCATCTGAAGTATTCTATACAGACTTAAGCCAATTATACATAATAAACAATTTCAGTCATTTAAAGAGACCATAGTTATAAAGCTGTATTAGAAAGAGGTTTATCTACTTACATAGTCAAGTTAAAGTGATTAGTGCAAGCATATTCATTCCAAACTCTTTTCACCGTATAACTGAGTTACTGACTCCTTACAATGAGTACAAATACTAATATGTTCTAGCAAAAGCATAAATAATTCTAATTCCAAAATTTAAAAGCTTACTCTCATCTTGTTTCTACTTAAGTATTCCAATTTAAAAATAAACTAACTGGCAGAAGGCAGTTTTTATTTCCCTTCTGTGTACATCATGCTAAAAACACTGACATCGGTCTTATCCCTTCAGATCAAAGAACTTGACAACAACCAGCACTTGACTTCTCAACTATTTGTATTTGGGTTAAAGTAAGTTAGGGTTTGAACATACACAGCTTTTGTAGGAATTCACCTGCTTTCACACTGACTGTTCTTGACTTCCATTCTGGTGGACATAATTAGGAAAGATGAAGTGTTTGATTAACTGTTTATTGTAATTGCTAATTTTGAAAAACAGTATTAACTGTATTATTGCTAACCTGTAGCTTTGGTTATTGGTTATAGAGCAGCTTATTGTGGGATCCTCTAGGCGGCCAGCTGGATCATGGGAAAAGGATTATGATGCCTTTGTCCTTCCTCTTCTTGAAGACAAGCAACCATGTTATATATTATACAGATTAGATTCTCAGAATGCTCAAGGATATGAATGGATCTTCATTGCATGGTCACCTGATCACTCTCCTGTAAGTAACAGTCATCAGAGGCTTCATGCTGTTGATTTTTCAACAGTTCCGTTTGATCTGAATCCTAGATATCAAGGAAGAGGATTTGAGGAATGAAGCATTCCCCAACCTTCCCCTCACTTTCCCCCAAGAAAACTGGGAAAACATCTTTCTTGAAGCTGATTGAGGAGCAATATCAGTGGGTCTAGATGGAGTGCAGCTGATCCAATTTATTTCTAGCCTGCCTGGAGGAGACAAGACAATGGTTTTGCCCTGTTTGTTTGTCTATCTTTCTATTGGTATTTCATGAAAATTCATGGAGGGATATAGGACAGAAATCTCAATGGGTGTTACCATAGAGAGAAGGATTATAGCGTGAGCTCAAGCTGTTTATTCTGTTTGGCTTGCTGGCTGCCCAGCTGGCACTCATGGATCTGTGACCTGCCACGGAATATACTGTTTCTTAGTCAGTAGCTAGAGAACATTGGAGGGAACTGAGGTTAGAGTTAAGGATTTCTAGGAGAAACTAGGATACTGTGTACAGGTTCTGGGAATGTGAGATAAGGGAAGACAGAAAGTAAAGCTATTCCCATATTCCTACTGCTTTCACTAGCAGTTAGGAAATAGTAAGAGACTAAGAGTTGGAGTGCATAGAAGAGATTAGCTGCAAAAGGTGAGGTATTATAGAATCATAGGATCATTAAGGTTGGAAAAGACCTCTAAGATCATTGAGTCCAACCGTCAACCCATTATGATGAGGATGGCATGATGGTGAAATAAGGTGGGAAGATGGGACTGTTGAGAGAGGAATAAGTGACTATGTTAGACACAAGTTGATAGGGACCAAACATCATTAGATCTTCTGCCCCCCGAGAATTTCAGTTTTTCACTCCGTAGTTGAACCAAAACTGTCTGGAGTCGCTATCAAATCAAAAATAACAATGAGTTATTTCCAGTCTGCTCTTTCTCTATCTGTTGTATCCATTAGTACACAGACCAGTGACAAAAGATCTAAACAATTGTGTTTTTTCCCATTTAAAATTAGTAAAGATTATGTTGACATTTTTTTTCCATTTAAAAAAAAGCTCATACTCTTACTAAAGCTGCAATTTAGTTTTGGAATTACTTTGATAATAATACATAGTACATGCTCTTGAGAATTTAATAGCGTGTTAGTATCGTGATCCAGAGCTCGTTCCATGGAGTTTATTCTTTATTAAGAATTACAACTTCAAAATGCAGTTCCAACACTTAAAATATTTGTTCAAGAAGGATGTTTGTTAATGGACTCGGTACACTGATGTGCTAGATTCTCTGTGTACACCAAAGGAAAAAAAAAAAACAACCCAAACCAAAACAACACTGTTTTATGATATGCTAGGTTCGTCAAAAAATGTTGTATGCAGCAACCCGAGCAACACTTAAGAAAGAATTTGGAGGTGGTCATATTAAGGATGAAGTATTTGGAACGGTACAGGTATGTTTTTCTTTTTAAAGTCAGCACACTGACTTTAAATACTAAATATAGTAGCTGATGTTACTGTGAATTTGTGGTGTTTCTGCTCTTTTTTGATTAAAGAACAAAGGAGTTAAAAGCTATGTGTATTATTCCAATGTTAAAATATAATTGCTCTCATTTGAACAAGTAACTAAGTATATTTAACAATTTCAGACTAAGAAGTGCTTGCTTCAAATGGCTATGAAAACTAAATAATCTAGGAATAATATGAGCATCTCTTAATTTCACTGCATGCACGTGAATCCTCAGAAAGCTGTAACACTGTAACTTTCAGGCCAATTGTATACAGAAGCCATTTTGGATGTATGGTTCTGAATCAGAAGTGGGCTAGAACAGCTATCTGCAAGCTGTTAACATCTGAAAACAAATGTTTTTATCTTAAACCAAGGATATTTAGCTGTCAGTTCTTTAGAATTTGACCATAAAATGTAACTGAAATCCATGGCTGCCATCTTAACTTATGGAAACAGAATTTCAGTAGCCACTAATTTGTTCAATGAAAATACTAATAGTTGACTGTTCGCTTATGGTAAGATAATTGGAAGGCGCATGTATGAAATCTAACAAGCTTCTAAGGGATGTTGAAAAGCCTGTAAGTGCTGTGCATGTAAGGAAATATGAGGCTCTTGTGTTACCTTGGTTTCTTTGGGAAAGTCTTACGTGGTTGTGATGTCAGCCTTTTTGTCAGGCAGACATCAGACAGTCTTGACTTTTTAATCCATTGCCAGTTTTAAAGAAATACAGGGTAGAGTTCTCAAAGATACAGAATGCTCATAGCTTTCCTGAAAACTGATGATGACTTAGAGATCCGAATTATCATTCCCTTTTTCCTCCTTCAGCAAAGCCAGAAAGAGTGCAGCAGTTATTTTCTGTTTGGCCTGTTAATTAGTTCATTGTATGCACAAATCTGAAGCAAAGCACTGCCACTATTGCCACAGGGAGCTGGTGCTGAAGGAAGGGAAGGAGTTGGAGATTTGAGAAAGAATAGAGGATATTGTAGTGAGGAAAAAACTGTGGAAGAGATGTGGGCTGTTGTAATGGACAGAAAAGCCCATAAGGACATAAGGCTAATAATTCTGTGGCTCACCGAGTAAATAATTTGTTATATTCAGCATTAACCTGTGATGGAGAGGCTTCATTATCCTAACAAACATACTAAGAAACCTCTCTAGAGAGGCTGTATTCTAGAGAAGTAGATAACTAAGTTGCTGAGAGGATTTACTGGTAGAGGACATGTTATTTTTTTCTTGCCCGTTCAATCAACTAATCTCTCACCGCCACTTGCACCAAACCATTAGCAGTCTATGTAATATGTAGAATTTGGGCTCTGAGTTGTAGGGGTAAACACAAGTCTGAGCTTCCATCTCAATTGTAAGGAAGGAGCATTGCATTTGTGTCTTACTGTGTTTGGGGCACTTAGAGGAGGAAGTCAGTGTAACTCACTTTTTCCACGTTCATTATGTTACAGCTTAATATATCTCTAAATTGTTGGTTTTAGTGTCTTTATAAGATTCTTAATTGTAGCTGGCCTCTAATATTCATCTGCGTGAAAATCACAGCTTCTTCAAAGTATTCAAGTTGCAAACCTCACTCAGAATCTTGATCGTCAGCATCCAGTGGGTTACTCTGTCTTTATTTTGTTAGACACAAGGATGGTTTATTTGCAAGCAGCTCTGTTATCCTGGTGGAGCCTGGTTATGTTCCCACCTGCGACTTCACATGTGTTAACTTCGATACCTCTGGGCTCCTGAAACAAGACACAATGGAATATTGGCACTGGAAATTGTATTTGGGAAGGTCTGTCTCTTTCAGAACGGGAAGAGCTAAGAAGGAGATTTCTCTTTCTCCTCAGAGCTTGAGTATAAAATCACATTCATACGATTACATGAAGTCCTGCCCTTTTCTGAGTGAATTATAAAAACACAACAGTATTTGCCTCTGGTATCAACCTCTTTGGAAAGGGCCAGAGCTGACATCGAGTATTAATGAATTCCCCAAAGTGGTTATCAGAATTCATCACTTCTGTGATGTTGCATCCTAAACTATTTGCAGTATCATGTGCTCACTCCCTGTCCTAAGGTAGCATTTCTGTCTCCTGTTTTTTAGGTAGAAAACTACCAATAAGCTACCAGTCTGAGCATGAAAATTTTATAAGAAAATAGATTTTTTTTTTTAGATTTATTAGAATTGTGGCAATTCTGTGAGGTTTTATCCAAGAAGGCTGAAGAACTTCATGCACACAGTCTTCATTAATGCTAATTTTTGAATTAGCAAGGTAATTAGGGACTGATTGTGGCAATGCTGCTCACGGTACTATTGGGTACAAGAGCAGCCCAGTGGAGCCTGCTGTACAGGAAGAAGACCTGAATTTGCAAATGCACCTACACTTGTAATCCATTCAAATAAAATGACCATAACTGTATGGGAAGTAACTGGTTTTTTTATGCTGCATAGAGCATCTTTGAAGAAAACTTTTATTATCAAAAATGATCAATGTTGATATTGTGCTTTCAGGATGACGTTTCACTGAATGGATATAAAAAGTATTTGATATCACAGTCCTCCCCTGCACCTCTGACTGCAGCAGAAGAGGAACTTCGACAAATTAAGATTAATGAGGTACCTACGATGTCTTTGAGCATGGGTGGAGAACTGGGTGCAGAGTTCCAAACATATTGTAGGGAGCCTTTCTAGGGTAAAAAAGGGCAGAACAGAAAATGGAAAGTTTCAGAAAGTTTGAGTGGATGAGAATATAAATTCATCTCTCAATGAGTTGAGATTGCAGGATGATGATGGCTAGAGTTGAAGTGGCATGATCTTGCTGAGTTTGCAAGGCCTAGTGTCTGAGTCAGACACCTTGCAACTGCAGAGCTTAATTGTTGCAACTTTGGCCCTTAACATGCTGTTAATATCACTGGATATGCTTCATTGTGAAGGGTGACCGAGCACTGGCACAGGTTTCCCAGAGAGGTTGTGGAGTTTCCATCTTGGAGATATTCCAAAGCCACCTGGGCACGGTCCTGGGCAACTGCCTCTAGTTGGCCCTGCCTGAGCAGGAGGCTTGGACCAGATGACCTCCGGAGGTACCTTCCAACTTCAACCACCTGTGATTGCCTACATACACTTCCCACCGTGGCACAAATTGTAGAGAAAACACAAAATAGCAACTGTTGCAGGGAATTATTGCCAGGAGTATTTCAGCAGCCTTATCCCTAGAGGAAACCTACTTAGCTTCCAGCACCAGTGCATTTGTCTTTAAGACTGAGAGGAAGTGAATGGAATTCCAATAAAGATAAAATAGAAATCCAAAACAAGTAGCTAGTCCTTTTAAGAGACTGATTTGCTTTTGCTACAAATGCTTTATAGAAAAACCTCTAACAAATGCTTTTAACCAAATATGATGATTGCCAGCTAGCTAGCGACTGAAAAGTTTTAGAGGATTCTTTTCTCACATTTTTCCTTCACTTGATCACTGTTCGTGTTCAGACATGTATTAAAATAGGTCATGTGCTGATCTTACCAGCTCTTTAGGCTTGTATTTTACAACCATGGTACATGTGTTTGAAATATGGTTTGTTTCTGCAGCTGGATGCCAGCAAACCATGGTGTTAAATGCAGCTCTGTGTCTTCTCTAATGTTTTCGCTCTACCATGCTTCTGCTGCAACTTTGTTGTTTATTGACTTTTTCAGTGGTGTCTTTTGTTATTTTCCATGTCTAATTTTGATTAATCCAATATAGAAATGCACTCATCATCATCAAAAACTGCATTTTACTTGAACAGCTTTAAAAAAAAAAAATGCTAATGAATGTAAAACTTCTGTGGTGTCGATGATCACTTCTGGTATTAGTATTATCTCTTATGTACTATATGTGTTTAACAGCTGATTCATGCAGACTAAAACCTTATGTGCTATTATGAAACTTCAGCAGCAATAGCAGTGCTTTTCAGAGATACATAAACCACAGATTGCTGCCATTTTGGCTTTGTTTGAAGAATCTTGCAATACGTTAACTTATGTCATTTCTCCTCATTGTTTCCACCATTATGAAGCCTGTAATTAGACTCAGAAAACTGAAAGCTTTCTGATTTAAAAAAAAATAAATTGAGTTTTCCATATGTATATTCTTTCATAATTACCCTAAGAAATATTTCACTGGGTCAGATCAAAGGATCACCTAGTCTGCCGTCAAGTCCCTGACTGAACAACAGCAGAAATCTAGGACGGGTGTAAGAGCAGGGCAAGGTGACCATGATAATTCCTTTGAATACTGTTTTGTTGCCTCAACGTTTGCAGGTAGGGATCTTCCTGAGCAAGAGATGATGTCTTACTATATAATTGTTTCTTAAAGGGTTTTTCATCCATAATCTAGTCTTGTCGTTTTTCTTGTTGGCCACATAAAGTTTTTGTTGGCCACAGATCCTATGGCAGTGTATTCCACAGCTTGACAAAGTACTATGTAAAGAACCACTGCCTGCTATCTACTAGTTTATTCTGATATCCCTACAGATTGTGTGGGGAAGGCAGAGAAAAGTCATTAAGTCATTCCTCAGTTTCCTCAGTTTCCCCTTCCCTTTGACAGAGCCAACCGTATCCCAGAAGGCCAATTGTATCCTGGACTGCATAGAAAGATGTGTGGCCAGCAGGTTGAGGGAGGCAATTCTGCCCCTCTACTCTGCTCTGGTGAGACCCCACCTGGAGTCCTGCGTCCAGCTCTGGAGCCCTCAGCACAGGAAGGACATGGACCTGTTGGAGCGGGTCCAGAGGAGGGTCACGAAAACGATCAGAGGGCTGGAACACCTCTCCTATGAAGAAAGGCTGAGAGAGTTGGGGTTGTTCAGCCTGGAGAAGAAAAGGCTCCTTGCGGCCTTTCAGTCCTTAAAGAGGGCTTATAAGAAAGATGGGGACAGACTTTTTAGTAGGGCCTGTTGTGATAAGACAAGGGGTTATGGTTTTAAACTCAAAGAGGGTAGATTCAGACTAGATATAGGGAAGAAATTTTTTTCAAAAGCTAATACTTAGACAATAAGTTCAGACTTGGGAAAACTGGAGGCCAGAGCTCATTTTGAGGGAAACTGCATGAATGTTAAGATAAACATAAATTCCTGAAAAATGGCTTTAAAGTAACTGTTGTTTTCTCTCAAATAATTTGTGACTAACATAACTGGATTATGAACAATTGTCTAGCCTGCAGTTACCTTGGATTTTTTTACTTCGTGTTAGATCTTCTAGAAGTCAAAAATTAAGATTTTGTTTGTTTTGTTTGCTTTCTTTTTGGTATAGGCTTCTGGGGGGAGGGTATTAAAGCAGGAAGGAGGGAAGTTGCTTTGCTTTTCCTTCAGGAAGATCAGTTTGTCTCATAAGATACAATTTCTCTCTCTTACTCCAAAAATTTTGACTCCCTAGAAATGGCATTTGTATGTTTTGATCTGAAATTTTTCAAGATACAACAAAGTTTATAAGCAATATTGTCAGTTCAAAAGTACACGCAGCATATGAAAATCAAGCTTTTTCCCTCCTGGCTTATTGTATCTTTATATCAGAATTTAACTTAGAGCTTCTTCACTGATACTTGAGCCAGTTTTCCCTCTGATGATTCTGTTGGCTCTGCAAAGCTTGCTGTTTCAGAGATCTGAAACTGTTTTCAGGTAGGCAAGCAAACGTGAGCTGTAAATTAAAAAATGCAAATCTGTTGTATATGGGGATGATGTTTTAGGGTAGTTTATTCTCAGAATAGCTACTGGTAATTCTGTGTGTAACCATATGCAATGCGTTGTCAGTTATTGCATGAAACCGAACGAATGCTTGCAAAGGTTTCTGTTTACATCTCAATTGACTTGTGTTCCAGGTACAGACGGACGTTGGTGTAGATACCAAGCATCAAACTTTGCAAGGAGTAGCATTCCCCATTGCTAAAGAAGCTATTCAGGCTTTGGAGAAATTGAAAAATAAGAAACTGAATTACGTACAACTGGCAAGTATAAAATACTTTAACTATTTTTTAATAGTGAGTATAAAATAGATTACCCTCACATTAAACAATGTGCGTTGATGACGTACACTGATAAATTGCCATTCTGTATGAGATTAATTCAATTTTTTTTCTATCCTGTCATGTTCTCTGGTTTGTTTTCTGTGTATTAACTATATTCAGGTTTACTTTGTTAACAGCAAATTGATATGAAAAATGAAACTATTATTTTGGCCAACACACTTCCTACTGAACTTAAGGACTTGCCAAAAAGAATTCCAAAGGATGCTGCACGTTACCACTTTTTCCTGTATAAACATGCCCATGAAGGAGACTATTTGGAATCCATAGGTATGAGAAAATTTCCCAATATGAAATGTCATTGGCTTGTTTCAAGTACTTTAGTAATTTTGAGGCAGAGAGAAAGATGTGTCATAAAAGTAATCTGTCTATCAGCATGAGCATAAATTTCAGAGTCATTTGGTTGTGAAACTGACTTCGGGAGAGTCCTTATGTTTAGAAAGTAGTGAGCTATCCCTTTTGATTATGAACACCCATAAATCAGTCGTCATGTAGATATCAACATAAAGATACCGGCCATTCTCTGATCCCCCATTTGAAATGAAACACTTGCTGAAGCAAAAAAGATCCAGAATGGTGTTGCATTTTTCCCTTTCAGACTGCATAGTTGATTTGCAATGCCTCTCTGCTGTAAATGATTTTATGATACAGGTTTTGAGGGAGTGTAGTTATGGTCTGATTTGTGGTTTTTTTTCTGCAGTTTTCATCTACTCTATGCCAGGGTATACCTGTAGTATACGAGAACGAATGCTCTACTCTAGTTGCAAAAGTCCACTGTTAGAAATTGTAGAAAGACAGTTGTGGATGCAGATAATTAGAAAGGTAAGTACACTGGGTATACTGGTATTTTCTCCATCCCTCTGTTCCCTTCTTAATATCTAACCATAACCGTGTCTGCCACCACCTTCTGTAAACAATGAAAAGTGTTGTATAACTATTGAAGTTTGTCCTGAACAAGAAATACTTGTTGATAAAGCTTCAGATACAAAGTTAAGTCATGAAAGCTTTTCTCTGGTTCATAATTTCTACACTTCCATAGCTTTAATAAACATATCCTTGTGTATCAAGGGAGTATTTGAGAGTACTTTGAAGGAATATTTAGAAGTAACATGATTTCTTACTAAAAGGCCTGTCATACTTTGGACCACAACACATTGCTCCTGTTGAACACTAAATTCCTTTAAAGCCAAGGTTATTTAAGGATTTTCAAAATAATTTCAAGCTGCAGTTCTGGAACTTAAACTGCTATCTTAGGAGTCCCTGATGGGGCAAACAAGGATTTGCAAGTAAGCTGATCTTTTCACATTGTATAGGTTTTACTGCTGTGCGTAAAGAGTAGGTTGCTTCTCACCTCCAGAGCAGAGACCGTTTGTGGAATATGTGACCTATGGTTACATTCTTAACACTTGTGCTGTAAATTTAGAAGAACTTTGAGGCTTCGTTTCTGTGGGGATTATGTCTACCTAAAAAATAGCAGAGTTAATACTAACCGTTTTTACTGTGGTGACATGACTTAAGTAATTATGTGGTTTTATATGTAATTATTTCTCAGAAGTTTCCTTTCTACAATGAAATAAATGCACAATGTGACTCCTAATTCCCGTAGACCTATTTCTGAAGCATGTACTTGTAACAGCGATACCGTGGCTGGCAAGTCCCTCAAGTACTATGGTTGGCAGGCCATGAAGTGCTGAATGTTCCGCAGAGCAGGGCCAAAGCATTTCTCTGAATTCTAAATTCCTGCATTTCAAAACAGTGGGGTTTGGCTTGAGAACAGTCCTTTCTTCCCATTCAGGTTTATGTGCTTAAATGTTAAAAACCAAAACAACCCCCCCTTTTGTTCATTCAATTTCTTTTAGCTTTTCCCTGGATTCAATACTTGATGAGTTGCAGTAGCCAGCTAATCATATAAGCTGTTTGTACTCCTCCCCTTCTATCTCAAGAGACAACAACATGTACGCATATTGCTTTTAGAATTAGTGTTTAAAGCGCCTTCTAGTGAAATATTTTCATTCTTAAAATGTGGAGATTATGTTGGGACAATGAAAAGTTTCTATTTTAGAGGGGAGTATAAAGAAAGGAAATTGTAGTTCTGAAAGATCGCGTGCTGCTTTCTTATCTTTTATTAAGGAAGTTACTTTACAGAGGAGTAAATAAGCACTTGTTTCCACATGTAATGTGTACTCCTAGTTAGTATTAGAATCATAGAATAGTTTGGGTTGGAAGCGACCTTTAAAGATCATCTAGTCCACCCCCCCTGCCATGGGCAGGGATATCTTCAACTAGATCAGGTTGCTCAGAGCCCCGTCCAACCTGACCTTGAATGTTGCCAGGGATGGGGCATCCACCACCTCTCTGGGCAACCTGTGCCAGTGTTTCACCACCCTCAGCGTAAAAATTTCTTCCTTATATCTAGTCTGAATCTACCCTCTCTGAGTTTAAAACCATAACCCCTTGTCTTACTGCAACAGGCCCTACTAAAAAGTCTGTTTCCATGTACACTATGCTAAAGCTTGGGACAGAGGAAGTTTCTTGGCATATGTACTGTGTAGTTGTGCTTATATTTCAGGAAAAATAATTAAGTCAAATCACCCTGAATACTGGTAAGAGTATAGTGGATTCTCAGAAAAACTATCCAAGGTTGCTGAGGGCATTAGCTACAAATTGGAGAACACTTCATGCTAGACCCTGAACTTTATTGCACATATGATTTTAATACAGTATTTAGAGCTTCAGCAAAATTTCTAAATGTTTTTAAATATGTCTTTAAGATGAAATATGATAAATGTTGGGTTTTTTTTTTTCCCAGATTGAAATAGATAATGGTGATGAGTTAACTGCTGACTTTCTTTATGAAGAGGTTCATCCAAAACAACACGCTCACAAACAAAGTTTTGCTAAACCAAAGGGTCCTGCGGGGAAGAGGGGAATACGAAGACTGATTAGAGGTCCAGCAGAGACTGAAACACCTAGTGATTAGAAACTCTTGTTTGCATTTGTTATAAAGTATTACAGTAAGAAATGAAATTCTGGCTTTTGGTCATGAACTGAAATCATTCCATTCATAGATGCTAGGGAAAAAAAAAAAAGCTCTTTTTACTCTTCTGACCTTGACACTTTTTATATTGTTACATGATTATATTTCTATTGACCATGTTTTATGACATGTGGAAGAGCTAATTATTTTAAAGCTAGAAGAGGCAAACTAAGCTAGTACCCCTTTATTTTAAATTAGAATCTATCATTTAATAGCTGTACAGGTGATCATAAACTTTGCAGATGTAAGACTATTAAGCCCATGTATTCTGTGGGTAAGTTGCAGCTGTATGCCTAGATAACAAACCCCTAAGACTTACCATGTGAGGAGAGGTGGAGGGCTGTATAGCGTTGTCCCAGATAAATCTTTCTTTTTCCTTGTAGCTTTTACGGGCAGTAGTACAACAGAAGGTTTTCTGCTGGTTTTGACGTGATGCATTGTTGGCTTTTGTTGTTGTTTTGCTTTTAAGAGAAAAGATAAACTAAAATCAGTTATCCATCAGTTAATGTAAGCGTTCAAGAATAGCTGGATATTTTCCCACGCAAAAGCATGGTCATTGCAAATTTATAACTAATTTTGTGGAATTGTCTTTTAAAGAAATCTGACATAAAACCACTATAGCTTTTCCAGACTTCTATACCACTCGCAAACCTTACATATTAAGTACTGAACGACCAAGTAAAAGGTGACTAAAAGTGCATGAGTTAGTATACTCAGTAGATTATGGAGCTGCTTTCAAAGCAATATGCTTAAAGTTTCTAATAAATAATTGATTATCTGTGCACTTGGATCTAAAACTGTGTAAATTCAGTAAAAATTGAAATAGACTTGCTTCGTAATGGTGAGTTATTCTTGAGATCCCAGCGTGTTTGCAGTATCAACTGCAATTTTAACTTTCAAGGTATTCTGAAAATGACTTTCCTAAGTGTTTGAACTTGAATAGTAACTTAAATCTGTAACAAAATCCAACTAGGTCTTGAATAACTGCTGGCAGCACCTGGTTAGGATTTTGTCTCCCCCCCGCCCCTTCCCTTCCCTTCTCCAAAATACTAAAATCAGCCAGAATAGTCTAAACTTCATTGAACCACAAGTAATGTGTTTAATAGGAAGAGGAAAAATAGATGATTTTAATAAGTGGATTAAAGAAGAATTAGATGTGGAAATCAAGTACTGGATGACCTTAAATATTTAAAATTGTGTAATGAGGCAAATACTAGTGGATAGATTATATTCCCCAGTGGGGACTTGCTTTTTAGTGTCTTGTGTGTGAGCTTTGTGGTTTTTGAATATTTTTTTTTTTGTAAAGCTACATGGGAGTTGCAAGTCTGGGTTCACCGCATATTATCATAGGTGCTGGGTGTACACATTATATAGCTGAATCACGTGTTTACCTGGTGGAAGATGGATTTTAACCTAGTTTTGTAGGGAACAATAGCTTTGACACTACTAGTTCCTGATAAAATTTGTTTTATCTTGTATATTATTTTGTTTGGAGATACTAGCTTGTTATTGACATCTGAGATTGCACTATATAATGTGAAGATTGCAATAGTTGTTGGTTTTACTGTGGTTTTTTATATGCAGTAGAAATTTGACACCTCAGCTTTTTTCATTTAATCTTGCACACTACATCAGTCCAATTCAGTAGCTCTTGATCCTCAGCTAATCTCCTGCTTCCCTTAGCTACTGTGTTCTTTTTCTGCCCCTTGCCTTCTCCCTCTAGGGCAAGGAGCTGGTCTTTGGAGTGTGTCTTCTATGTACTACCTGTCAGGCAAGCATCACTGTTTTTTAAACATGGCTAATGTGTGTGCGGCTCATTGTGCACTGTCATTAAATGTATTTTTAGTTGAACTCTGAATCTTTTCAGCACACCTCATTCACTTTGGGTTTTGTTTTGGGTTTTTTTTAAGGAAAACCTTTGAGTGTAGCAGTTAAAAATTACTGCTAGGAGGTTTTTCATTTGAATTTAGTATTCCTGCCCACGTGTCAGCCATACCGAGAGTGCACATGTATCTTTACGCTTATTTGAGCCAGTAAAGAAGTTCAGCTTTTTAATGCCAAATGTTTTAAATAATGAACAGTTTGACCCGATATGGTTATGTGCATGTTGTGTTTTGGGCTTTTTTTTCCCCCCTAATCCTGCTCTAGGTAGATGAGGGTAGGAGGTAGAAAGCTTAATCTGGAGGATGGCAAGAGCTGGTTAAGCGATTATGCGAGGGAGTTTATAATGACCTGCTTTACGTTTCGGCCCAAAGCAGACGTTTTAAGTTATCTTACTTGAAAGTCTTCTACATGGGTGTACAACCCCCCGACCAGCCAGCAGAGGGTCATGTCCTGAGCATATTTCCTCCTCACCTTTCCCCTAAAAGAGAGCTGTATGAAGTCTTGCACTGCCAACTGCCTCTCCAGGCCTCTTGTAGCTGTTCTCCTGACAAAGCAATAAGCAGCATCTGATCTTTATGTGAGATCTAGCACGTTTACATCTGCATAGTTGCCTCACATAACACTACTACTGTTAATGAACGTTCAGAGCCAGCACAAAATGAGGGCATTAATGAAAGTTACTCCTTTACTGTCTCTGGTAATTTACTAATTGAAAGGGTCCATTCAAAATTGTTGTTGGCCTTCATAAAGCCCAGAAGCAATGCAGCTGCTTGCAGTTAACTCACAGCTATTAAATAGTTAATTAACATGACAGGTAATTATTTTTGAAATGTTTATGTTGCAAGGTAGGGAGAATTTGATGTTTTAAAACACTCCTATCAGAGGGTTGTAAAACTAATCAAAGTAGTAATTGCTCTATTACAACATCGATAAAGGAAACTTTGGATTTACAGTGTCCATGTATTCAATGAAAACCACCTTCAGATGCTAAAATTAACTAAATTTACCTTATCGATTTTGTAATTTACTTTATAAATAAAGATTGATCCTTTAGTTTGGTGTTGTCTGAATCATTTCGTAATCTCTTTAACAAAGATCTATATTCTAACATCATGATGTCTAAGTAACAGGCAGTTCCCCCGGGACAAGAAAGGGGTATGGAAAAAGTGATTGCAGGGTAAGGAGGGAGGTGGGCAGAAACGGAGTTCTGGCTTGTGCGATTGGAGAAAAATCAGTATGTTAGAAAGAGCTACTTACTTCCCTCTTGCCTTATGGAAGCAGCAGAGAGGCCTCCATAGCAGGATCCAAGTGTGTTCATCGCTTGGGATTTTTATGCTTTCAATAATAAGCCCCTTCAAAAAGTTCTTCTGTCCTTTTAAAATGCTGAAGTAGTTGATTACTAATTTAACAGTTCTATCTGTTAAATACTTGCTCAGCATGAGGTAGTATAATTAAACGGCTCAAATGATATTGCTCCATTAATGTTTTTTTTGCTAAACAGAAAGTAGTTTGCTTGAAGTCTTCCTATTGCCCTCAAAATTCAGGCTGAAAAGAACATTCAGTGGTTTGGCTTTTAACTGTCCTGCAAACACATCCCCATGGGGAAATAGGTGATACGGCAATTTTGCAGTTGAGAGGAGGAGATTTGAAGATATGTTGAACTAGGATTTAAAAGAGTAATTTTAATGCAAAACGCTATACAGGAAGAAAGCTATTCCTGTACGAGGAGCAGAAGCGAGGTAAGAGGAGGGAGTAGACTAGGCCTCTATGCGACCAGGAATATCAGAAGCAGTTTTATTTGCCTTTTGGTCAGCGGGTGTTAAATAAAACTCACAGCTGGCCAGCCCACATAGAAAGATGAGGCAATTCTTCCCATTTCAATAATATGAAGTACTACGGCTGATAAAAACGTGTGTTGGCTCAAAAGGCGACCGGACAAACTGATCAAAGAAATTTGATAGAGGCTTAATAACCAATGAAGACCTCACATCCTTTTCAAAGTCAGTGAGCCGCAAACGGTACAAAGCCATCAAATTCCAGTGCAGTATCGCTACATACGCGTCCTGTTCTTGCGCTCTTTCCTCAGCAGCCACCAATGGCTCGTGTCCCAGCCCCGGGGCTGTGCAGACACCTCGGGCTGACTCACAACAGCCATTCCGTTACCTCCTGCTGTACCCAAGGGGAGGACTGTTGCCCTTCATGGGGGGTTTCCTTAACAGCCATTTTCTATGGCTTATTAGCATTTGCTTTTATCCTGCTGCTTCTTTCTGGAGTCTGTTGGAATTGCAGTAACTCACTCTTGCCATTTTTCGTCCGTACTTCCTTGTGGGGGTGACTACATTGCTTTCTGTTACAGTTCTCTAGATCCTTACCATGCAAAAGGTTGGCTCTTTCACCGAGGGTAGCGATCCTCGGATGCCCTCCGTGGCACCTCCCCGCCCAGACAGGATGTAGGCCAGCCATATTAGCCCTATCTCTATCCCAGGAAGATCTCCCACGCGGAGCTCTCTTCACCCGCCAGGAACCGTACCAAATTTTCTCTCACCTCCAGTTCTATGGAACTAGATCATGCCTTTACTCACAAAGAACTTGAATGACTCAAGTTACCGATTTGTGTCCCGGAAAGCTTTACTATAGTAATTAATACAAAGAAGTACGGATCCTAGGAAAGCTTAATGTTTTTGCAGGAAATAAATGAAGCAAGTCAGCTCGTCTTATCCCCTGTTAGTGTCTATAGGTGCTGATTTTACTGTATGAAGACCTCAAAAAAAATCTTGGGTAAGAAAGGGGAAGTTCCTTTTTCTTGCCCCCTGTGTATTTTAAAAAAAAAAAAAATTCCCATGTAAGTTAGCTAGCTTTACCTAATTACCTAACACCTCGCATTTTCATTCCTCACTAGAATAAGAGTAAATGAGTTCAAAATTATTATTTTTTTCTTTTATGAAATGGTGGCTAACATGCTTCATTTTCAGTGAGGGAAAACTACTGCCAAAATTTAGGTGCTGACAGCAGCACTGCAAATAGTCACGGTCTACTATGACAGGAGAAGAGCTATAAGCATGTGAGTTCCTAAGATTCTCCTAATACTTGGAACATCGCCGCTGGTGCATAAACAAAATTGTTCTACCGCACCAGAGGTGAACAGTGCTGACTGGGGAGTTACTACAGCAAACGTACTTCAGGGCAACACTATGGATGTATTCTAGCTCCAGGGAATAGTAAAAAGCAGGCCTGATCTAATAAGCTCCAGGTAACAGCTGGAGGAGATGTTTAAAACTGAAGAATAGCTTAAGCAAATTTTATTCTGATTTAGCTTTGAGGCAGCTTTTTTCTCCACAGGCCCAGGTTCAGAGCTGTACAGCTTTATTCCATGAGGTTAGCATAATGTTATCATCAGAAATGCAAGCAATGCAAAATGACTCGTTTCCAAGGCTCAAAGTTTTAATAATCACCTGCAATGATAATGCAGAGTTTTTATTTATGTTAACAGCTTTTTACAATTTGTGCTCAATAAAACTAGAAGCTGTTTGGGTGGATACCTTTTTCTAAGTTAAACTATCAGTTTTAAAAGGCAATACAAAATTATTTAATAGCCAGAGATTTAATGATATCAATACAAGTGTTAGAAATCACGTTTTCTACAAAGATACATATATATAGAGATATATATATCTGTGAATGCAGTCAGATAATTTCTCAATGTTTTTCTTTGATAATCATGGAATTTCAAATTTAGCTGTAAGCCAGACTATCTTCCTACCCTTAAGCTGTCAAGAAAAAGTTCATGAGGTACAAAAAAGGTTTACATGAAAATAACCTCTTTCATTTACAACAGTAGTATTTTCATACCTACTTAGTCCAAAGTATCTGCAATCTTAACTAGTCACTTTCATTCTATTTTTAGTCTGCTTTGATCTGTCAATGTATCTATTTTGGAAAGCTTTCCATGTTGCTTTTTTAAAAGTGTATTTTAATATTTATTTATTAACATACATATATATGTTTTTTAAGGAAGTGCTTCATTATTTGACTAAGGAAAATGCAGAATTGGTCTTAGAATTATTATTCTGGCCCCTTTAACAAAATATACCATCTGTATTTACAATCCATATGGAATCTTCTCCTAAAATGTAAAATATTCAAAGTAGCCAAGAGTCTTCCTGCGAACAGAAATTAAACGGGTTGTCATCATACAAAGTTCACTGGAAGAAAGCCATATGTATTTTTGCATTTGCACTGCAAGATAATAATTTTGCTTGTGAAGCCTTGAAACCAGAAAACAACCTAGAGTATGTCTTGCAGCATTTATTTGACTAAAACTAATCCTGAGAAGACTTTTTGAAAAATAGTCACATTCACAAACACTACCAGTCCATTCACACCACTATGAACTCTCAAGTTAAAACGCTAAGTAAAGTTTGTTTTAAATGGGTACTACTATTGTCTTTTCCCCAAAAGACAACGTTAAGTGCCATTTGTATCTATTAAATGTTGTCTTCAATAGAAAAAGGTCTAGTACACCTGAACAAGAAAGCAATTTGCAGAAAAAACCATTCTACTCCGTTAATGTCACATGCCTTTGCAGCAGACATACTTGATACTTGGAAATCAGAGGAATCAAATAGATTCTAATATGGAAATGCATTTAAAAAGCTGTGGAGGAGATGCACCGGCACTGCAATTCGTTAATACAAAAAAGGTTTTCTCATGTTGAGGGCCCAAGGGCTAAGGATATGTGAAAAGGCTGCTCAGTAAACAAAAACAGCACAGTGGTGACAGGCCAACAGCACACCTTACATGCAGACCAGAAAGTTCCAGAAAGCAGAAAAGCTGATAACATCGCACTAAATACCAATGAAATATTTGCTACTGGTGTCTACTCCATTTCAAAAACATTTGTGTATCAGAAGAAAGACGTATCAAGTTTTTATCTCTTGTAGATGCTGTTGGACCTGCAAGAGAACAGATAGAAATATAAATAACAGATACCGTAACCACACCCACACACTCAAAATAAGCCTTTTGTCTGAAAGACTACGTACCATCTTAATGTCTGGCCTTCTGTTTTTTTTCTCATTCAGACACTGATCAGCAACTGAATACATTTTATGAACTGAAGGTGCATCCCAATCACTCATCTTTTCATCAACATAATCCTCAATAGTTGCTTCCTCATCCTCAATATCATCTTTGATACTTAACTACAAGAGAGTTTGAACCAATGAGTAGATAACATTGTAAGCATCTGAACATGATGTATTCCACACTAACACTTTGAAAACTTGCTTTTGAGCGTTCATTTCTTTCCTCAAACACTTTTGTAGACA